GGGGGGGGGGGGAGTCCCAGGTGTTAACCCTTTCCCCCGACCTGCCGGAGCAGCCCCGAGGGCTGAACCCGAAGTTTCCCCCCCCCCCCCCCCCCCATTTCTGCCTTAAAATCTTTACGATAGAAAGGCCTCATGGAGGGTTACTGTGACATGTAATGTCACATGCCATCTCGTGCTGACCACAGAAATAACTCAAGGCGCCACTCTGCTGCAATTAGCAGCTGTAAGATTATGATGTTTTGACACAGGTGAGGCAAAAACCTCCAAGCACATACCCCAAAACTCCGCAGCCGGAGGACCCCAGCCGCACGGGGTGGTGGTGGGGGAAGATATAAAATTATATACAAAACGATTCTTCCCCTTCACCCCCTCCGTTTTTCGCCAGCTCCGGGTGTTGGAGGAGTGGGGCTGAAGCCGACTGCTCCTAAAAAAAAAGCCGGTTTTCCACGAAAAAAAAAAAGAAGTTTTGGGGCGAGGGGGCAGCGGGGGGCCGTGGGGCCCTGGTCGGCTGTGTCTCCTCGCCCCACACCCCCCCACCCCGACCCACACCGGACCGAGCCCCCCGAAACGCCGCCGGGGAATGCGGGGAGAGGGCGCGGATGCCGCAGAAACCGGTTGGTCGTTGTTATCAGTTCTTTCTCTTATTATTTTTCTTTTTTTCCCCGAAACACCGGTTGTTTGGTTTCTTTTTTTTTTTTTTTTTTTTTTACGAATTAAAATTCTTCTTGGAATATTGAAAGCCTGAGCTGGTGCACAAAGAGCCCCTTTTCCTGCGGGGGTGGGCAGAGAGGGTCGGACCCGCGTTTCTTTTCCCTCTGCCCGTGGTTGCTGGGGAATTAGTTGTGCGCCAGCCCCAAAGAAGATCAACCAAAACCAAGGTCCTGGCCGCTCCTCGCGGCAGCGATAATCGCAGGGAGGTATAAAAAATACGGCCGCTAATAGTTTCGGGAGCTAGAGGCGGCCCAAAATCGTCCCAGAGCGGGGAGCGATGGAGATCTCCGCGTTGGGGTACGGCGCGGCCGCGCACCTTCCTCACAAAACCACAGGAGCAGCCGGGGGGAGTTTTATTCTTTATTTTT